TTTGTCACGTGATATGTCGTGGATTGTTATCACCTGTCATTTTCCATTTTGCCAATAAACAAGGATAGAGAACCTGTCGTCACGTTTAATTAGACTCGTTCTACAAAAAAATAATGAATTCAACTCAAATTTCATTTCAAAATTTCCCCGGCCACTTCAACCTTTGTGCCCGCCATCCTGTATTATGGCATTCCATTGCGTTAAAGGAAATTAAAGCTATAATTCGGGATCGGTGTAAAGTATTTTGATCCATTCTGCGGGCGGCATATCGTCGTGTGCATACAGCGTGTACTTGCCAGGGGCCGCCGTGGCACAGAATACAGTGTGACATATTTGTTATAACCGTGCATTTTGTCACTCTTTTATATCTCTCGTAATATATTTCGTTCAGTCGGTTGATTCTGCTGCATCAAAATTAAGAGATGGGCCTTGTTTTGAAATCGTCGTAAAACACCGGCCATTTGCGGCATATGATGATTAAGAATGCCAGAATGTTATTTTACCCACGAGGATTCGCACCATCATATGTTGTTATTTTTTCCAAATTGTATTATCGGTTTGCATTAAGTCGATAATTATTTTTTTACTATACCAGTCACTTAGTTATGTATCCATCCTATATAACAGAACGACTTAGTCATAAAATGTTGCTGCTTTCTCGGATGTCGGTTATTTGTGGACAGCGACTTCGTATATACCGTAGGCTGATAGGAAAAATATACCAAATACAAGGTAGATTTGTTCAAGCCATTTCTTATCAGCAAAGATGACTGATGAGAGTGGTTACCATAGATACACTGTTCGCCGAGAACGGATAGTCATGCACCTTTTAATTAACCGTTGTAATATTCCATAAATCAGCAACGCTCTTCCCCTGTCGACACTCGTTGACCTCTGTCACTGGATTCATGAAAATGTACAGCATTGTGATATTCAAATGTTGAAATGCGTAATTTGCATAACGTGTGGCTAAAAGCGCATGCGTTTTATGTCGTCATTGACCTCCCACTGATTGTGGGCGTAGAATGTGAGACCCACATCGCAACTATCGGAAACTTATCGGAATAAACTTGCATTATTATCACGTGGTTAGCTGCGCAAACAAGATAACCATCAATTCTTTACACGTGTTATAGTTATGCAAATTCTCGCCTGTATATGTCAGTAGTTCTTTTTTTTAAACACTTACGTTTTTTTCTTCTATTGCAGGGAACTTTTCCAGAGATTGGACACCATTTTGCAGCCCAATGGTCCGGTAAAGACTGACGAAAGAAAGTAAGTGTTCAGAACCTTTGCAGTTCCGACGCTTGCATACACATAAGCATACTAGTACATCAAATCAAAAAATGGCCCGTATTTAGACAGTTTCTTAAGGAAGCCAAATCCGCTAACAGATAATCACGAATCGCTGAAATATAACAACTTCGCCTCCATACTCGATCTGTCAGTGGCCATTCATTTGAAGGTATGATGACTCAACGTGTCTGAGTTTTTCGCCGAAAAAGACTTCAAAAACAAAATAATCATGGCGGCACGAAGCCTGGCCCCAAATGCTAGTTCATTTAACCTACTATTTCTCTCTGGTTTCTTAGATGTTACAGCTCATTCGTTAGACCGGTAGTTTCACGGTCACACGAATGTCCTAGTATTCCACCCATGTGAGTAACTGTTTTTCAATCAAACGGTATTGCATGTGATAAAATGGTTCGGGTAATATGCAAAATAATCACGTGGTCATCTTCTCATTGTTTTTCATCGTAAAATAATGACTTATTTTCATATATTTGTGTTAACTTCATTTGTGGCGGGAAACTACTAATCGGCGTAATGATATATATTAAATAACTTTCGCTTTGTTAAATATTTTGTCTACCAGCCTACAACTCTCCATTTTGTGTGAACTTTGACCCCTGTATTTGGTTCCGGGTCATATAATAATAATCTTTGGTCTTTTTTAGTGTGATTCAATATGCAAAATAATGTTTGTTGTTTTTTTTCAAGTGCTATTTTACCGTGTTCTCCTCGCCAATGTTTATGGTGACACGCAGCTGTCCGCAATAAAGCTACCATTTCTTACAGTGTCTCCAGTATATGAACTAGCCTAGTATTGTTCATCAACTGTATTGTTTTGAATTTTGCCTAAATATTGTAATATTCTCAATAATATGAGGTTATTGCGAGAATACCTCAAAGTATGCACGAAGACAGTACAGCTAGAGCGCGGCGCGGCGTACTGTTTGAGTGCATACTTTGAGGTATTCTCGTAATAACCTTATTATTATACATCTTTTCCTTCCAAGGATACATCATGGGAATTACGAAATCTAAAATATTTAGAACAGAATCAGCGAACTTATTTGTGTGGAGTCCGGTCAAATTCTGGTGGCAGCCATGATTGTTTTTATGATCAGAGGACGCTTACGCGCGTAATCATTCCATATTTGGAATTCGCATTATCTTATATGGTAGGATGAAAATACCCCGTAAAATACCGCAAATTTTCGGCATGCTGTAACTTATGGCGTTACGGTAACAGATGTATAATAATTGTAGTTATTACAAAACTACAATTACGTCTAGGTAATCACGACATCTTGTTTGTCTCATTCATCCACGACAAATTCAATCCGGGTAACAAAGTATGTTCGCGCATGCTCTTCAATAATTATACTCGTCGCTGAGCGATTGCATCAACGGCTGAACAATTAACAGTAATTGTGCGTTACTAGTGATCGTAGATACTTTGCGGCGAGCTCCCTTTAAAATTATACGCTGTAATTTGTACAGGATTTGATATATAGCTTGACGAATTACTGGTGTGTGGGTGGGTTAGTTGGAGGGGATAGATCACGTTTCCACCTGACTACTTCTGCCCATTCGGAAGTGCCTGTGCGGCGACAGTGTGTCTTCAAGTTGGTCACATTTTAACACTCGGTTCATATGTCATCATGCCGCTGGTTATTGCACGGACCATGACCGATCAGTTGGTTTCCCTAGTTACCGGGTTATTGCATAGACTCGCGTTTTATGTCGTGTTCTTTTCGGGCACTCTCATTCGGGGCGGAGGTGCCAACAATAGCCGGTGATCTATTGGTTGGGATTGAGTTACTAGTAGTACGGGGATGATAAGAGGATGCGACCTTCGATGCGTACCCGAAAACAATTTACCAGTGCTTCGCCCATTGTTCGCTACCTCGTCCCAAAACGTGTCCCTGGCAGTCTCATTGTGGAACCGATTTGAACGTTTTAATCCGGGCGTGGGCATATTTTAGCGGGAGGGAGCTTCTCCCTGTCAACGCTGAATGCAGAAGTCGCGATCTTTGACCGGGCTTGTCATCGACAGTGCGCCTTCGATGCAGGATGGGTGGTAGTATTGTATTCTCGGGAACACACTAATTAAAAAATACCCCATCGGTCAATTAATCACCTCCAAATTTATGCATTAAAGGCGCTTGAATATTATACTTGCTCAATTATATTATTACGTATTTTATTTATGTATATGTAAATAAATTAAATTAGATTCCTGTCAGACATAAACTAATGATGAAATAATGAAAGCTGTAAGTACAAATGGTACACACTTACGCAATCGAGATCGGGCGTGGCTCAGACTAATCTATTATTAGTTTTGGGGAGCAAGCAACACGTAAACAAATTAAAAATGCAGTATCTAACAACATATATGTTGGCGTCCATATTGCATCTTTTAACGTTTTAATGCGCATGCGTTCTGGTTTACTGGTACGTCGCATTATTGTATTTCGAGTGTGGTGTGTGGTCATTGGTGCATATATGAAAATAACTCCCACATTTAAAGCAGGGAGTCGTCATCTGCGCATGCGTCAGATGACCATAGCGTGTCATTGTTTACAAACAAGCGGCTACCCATGAGCCTTTGCGTTTCTTGTGTGTGTTGTTATCGTGGCTTGGGACTCAAATCTCACGCGTGCGCAGGTGACGACCCTCCCGCTTTAAATGGAAATCCAGATCAATTCGGAATATCAACATCAAGATATTAGTTCGAGCGCTAATACTAGTCTGAAAACACTAAAATGTTTATTATTTCCGCTTTAAAATTTTAAAAGGAAGTGATTGGGTGCCTGATCAATTATTTAAATGTACATGGACTTTAAATTAAATATAATGTTTTGACCGGTTCTTCAGTGTTGAATAGTGGTGACCACAAGTGAATAAGCTTTTGCTTGCAAGTATACGGATCGATATTGCACTACGTCCTGGGGGCGATCTGAGTGCAATGCGATAGCTATCATCGTTCTGTGCCAACACATGTACGTACACATTTGGGCTCAAATACTTAAAGCGCGGTGGTCGTCGCGCAGCGCGTGTTAGAATTTCATGTAAATAAACAATGCATTTTACACGC